ACTAAAGAATGACTCATCACTTGTCGGATAACATCAATGAACTTTTAATGATTCAACGGGGTTACAAGTGATGACGACATCAACTGAAATGAAATGGAAAACACAAGACGGGGATGTAGAACGGAATGAAATGATAAGTGATCGCACTGACAAATGAATCTAGACCTGCATGCATGAGTCCCCGAGGGGCGCAGAGTGATGATGATGATGATAGAGCATGAACTGATGAATAACACTAATAATACAGCTACAGGGTGTATGTCAACAGAGAAGTCCAAACGAGGAATCAGGCTTACTTTGCTCACCTCTCTAGCCTCAGCAGCACAAAGTCTGCTTCGACTATCAAGATACCCGGAAATAGCAGTTCACAAGAGAGTGACAAACATACAAAAGAAGTAGAGGAATCAGTGACTATGGATTTCATCGGCAAACTGCGTTGAAAAACGGCAAACAGTTTAAACACAACCATAGACTTTAGAACACTTAATGAAAGGCTTCCCACCCACCAGCAAATGGTTTACTAATCAGCATATAAAACACAGTAATCTAGCTTCACAATTCATAGCACAGCCACGGATAGTCTTTCTTCCCTGGGGGTGTCAAGGACAGGGCTGGTAGTCAAGCAGGCCCGACGTTGTGTCCTTGGGAAAGGCACTTTACAAGAATTTTCCCCACTTCACCCAGGTGAAACTAGGTGGGCACCCAGCTATAGACAGTGAAAGATCTTTTGTCAGTTGGTTAGTGTTTGAGCGCTGAACCAGCTGCTTGCACTGTAAGCTTTCTGGGAAGCTGAGAATTTTTCTGAGCGTTCTATGGTCTGCTGGGGTAATAATATAGTGTAAAGCGCATAGAGCTTGCTTTCGAGTGGGGACATACGCTATACAAAAGCTATCTATCGTTATTATTATTAGATTTATGAAAAACAAAAACCTCAGACAGAAATCTCACAACACACAAACAAAATCTCACAACACACACAACACAAACAAAATCTCACAACACACACAACACACAAACAAAATCTCACAACACACAACACACACAAACAAAATCTCACAACACACACAACACACAAACAAAATCTCACAACACACACAACACACAAACAAAATTTCACAACACACACAACACACAAACAAAATCTCACAACACACAACACACACAAACAAAATCTCACAACACACAACACACACAAACAAAATCTCACAACACACACAACACACAAACAAAATCTCACAACACACACAACACACAAACAAAATCTCACAACACACAACACGACACAAACAAAATCTCACAACACAAACAAACACATAAATCTCAGAACACAAACAAACACATAAATCTCAGAACACAAACAAACACATAAATCTCAGAACACAAACACAAACAAACACATAAATCTCAGAACACAAACATAAACAAACACATAAATCTCAGAACACAAACAAACACATAAATCTCAGAACACAAACAAACACATAAATCTCAGAACACAAACACAAACAAACACATAAATCTCAGAACACAAACATAAACAAACACATAAATCTCATAACACAAACAAACACATAAATCTCAGAACACAAACAAACACATAAATCTCAGAACACAAACATAAACAAACACATAAATCTCAGAACACAAACAAACACATAAATCTCAGAACACAAACATAAACAAACACATAAATCTCAGAACACAAACACAAACAAACACATAAATCTCAGAACACAAACATAAACAAACACATAAATCTCAGAACACAAACAAACACATAAATCTCAGAACACAAACATAAACAAACACATAAATCTCAGAACACAAACAAACACATAAATCTCAGAACACAAACACAAACACATAAATCTCAAACACAAACATAAACAAACACATAAATCTCAGAACACAAACATAAACAAACACATAAATCTCAGAACACAAACACAAACAAACACATAAATCTCAAACACAAACATAAACAAACACATAAATCTCAGAACACAAACAAACACATAAATCTCAGAACACAAACATAAACAAACACATAAATCTCACAAACAAACACATAAATCTCACAAACAAACACATAAATCTCAGAACACAAACAAACACATAAATCTCAAAAGACAAACAAACATGTGCAATACCTTATCTTGCCACTCCCGACGAGAGATACACTCGTGGTATCTGATTCTTGTGAAGGAGACCTGAGGAGAAAACGCTCTGTTACTAGATTCTACCTTTGTTTCTTTGATGTTTTTTTTTGGGCAAGGTTTTATGGCGCTCGCAACAGCATAAGATCATAAGGCCAACGGATGGATAACAACAGAGAAGACCAGACGTGGATTCAGACTTACTCTGCTCACCTGTCTAGTCTCAACAGTACAAAGTCTGCTTCGACCATCAAGTAACCGCAGAAATAGCAGTTCACAAGAGAGTAACAAACATACAAAAGAAGTAGAGAAAAAATGACGATAGTAAGGATGAGGAAAGAAAAAGAGAAAAAAGAAGACATTTGGAATAACAGTTCAATTTTATAAGGCAAAGCATTTCCTTACCCAACAATGTATTACAACAAGTAAATGAGATATTTTTTAGGTCTTTGCGGATAAAATGATTCAATAATAAAAAAGCATATGAAAAGGTGAATGAAGAGCAAGGTTCTGTGTAATGATAAAGAAAACGGGGGAATAAGGATGACTGACATATTTCGTTTCCAAGATTCCATACTTTTACTTTTGGAAGGGGCAGAGGCGCTCCTTAGACCGGGACAACAACAATGGAAGGATAGTCCTGTCTTTCTGTAGTGATCTTGGCGGTTCACACGTCTTTAAGAGTAAGGTCTCCGTAAAGAACTTTAAGGGAAGGAATAGCATCCCTAGTCCTTTCTGGTGAGAGGTCCTCCCAAAAAGGTCACAGTATACAGACAACTGTACACATAATATTCCGTCAAGGAGTGACCCTCCTCTTATTATAATAGAGCTAAGCCCGTTTGTGGGGTCAGTAAAAACTTTTTACACAGGTGCCCATAAAATCTACAAAAGTATGATTCAGACAAGAATTGCTCCAAAGGCTTACATGGGCATATTTTCAAAGTTCGGAAACTACTTTTTGATTTCTCAGGTTTGATGATTTTTCCTGTAAATCGAAGCTCTCAGATGTTTTCACTCTGCCATTAGTCATTTCATATTTTACTAGGGACTACTTCCGTTTAATATTGTGCTTCTTCGTGCGTGTGAGACAGCTGCTTCTTCTACTTCAAGAGCTAAAATCTCGATATCCAACTGTTTGGATGTGTGCTTGACAGTGTCGATGGATACTTCAGTCCAAACTTCATTTTACTGACTTTTTCTAGATACATTTGGCATAGTCATGTCCACAACACGCTGTGTTCGTTTAGACCCGCAAAATGTTTACTTCGTTGTATTGACGTTTTCAAAATTTTGGCGCGTATTTGGTGCGTAGTTTTTTCGAGCAAGACGCTAGATCTAGATCTCTCTCTATCCTAGATGTATTTGGTGCGTAGTTTTTTCGAGCAAGACGCTAGATCTAGATCTCTCTCTATCCTAGATGTATTTGGTGCGTAGTTTTTTCGAGCAAGACGCTAGATCTAGATCTCTCTCTATCCTAGATGTATTTGGTGCGTAGTTTTTTAGAGCAAGACTCTAGATCTAGATCTCTCTATCCTAGATGTATTTGGTGCGTAGTTTTTTAGAGCAAGACTCTAGATCTAGATCTCTCTATCCTAGATGTATTTGGTGCGTAGTTTTTTAGAGCAAGACTAGATCTAGATCTCTCTGTATCCTAGATGTATTTGGTGCGTAGTTTTTTAGAGCAAGACTAGATCTAGATCTCTCTGTATCCTAGATGTATTTGGTGCGTAGTTTTTTAGAGCAAGACGCTAGATCTAGATCTCTCTCTATCCTAGATGTATTTGGTGCGTAGTTTTTTCGAGCAAGACGTCAGATCTAGATCTCTCTCTATCCTAGATGTATTTGGTGCGTAGTTTTTTCGAGCAAGACGTCAGATCAAGATCTCTCTCTATCCTAGATGTATTTGGTGCGTAGTTTTTTCGAGCAAGACGCTAGATCTAGATCTCTCTGTATCCTAGATGTATTTGGTGCGTAGTTTTTTCGAGCAAGACGCTAGATCTAGATCTCTCTCTATCCTAGATGTATTTGGTGCGTAGTTTTTTAGAACAAGACTTCAGATCTAGATCTCTCTATACCTTAGATGTACAATTTGGAGTACAGAGCTCAAGACTGATTTGTAGTAGTTTGCAAGACAGAAGTGCCGTTTGTGTTTTGTGACTGAAGGTCATGGGTTTGAACCCTGTCATGGGGCCGAGATAATTGTGTCCTTGGTAGAGGTGTGTTGTGTGACCTTGACTCACTTCATCCAAGTGGGAATGAGTACCTGGCGGCAGGCGGGAAAGATGTCTTGTTTTAATAATACTCATATAAAATATAGGAATGAGATAATCCTTCTTCCTTCCTGTGTAAAAAGAGGAATAATAACAGTAAATGACATAACGGTTGGAAGACGAGTTTTGAATCTAGATGAATATACACAAAGATTTGGCCCATACGGCCGCTGTGTTTTAGACCACAACATATTAAAAAATGCAATAAAAACTGTCCCGGGTATCACACCTTCGCTGGTGACAGATACGTTTCTCTTCAAAGATAGAGTCGTGGGAAATATAGGGTGGGGGGGGGGAGGGGTAGTGAGAGTGAGGGGAGATTTTATTTCACTTTTAGAACATGATTTAAAAAACCCAAAAAACAGACTACAATCCTGTCACATCATGCCGGTATGTGTGAAGAACGACGACAGTAGGGTAAGTGTTTTATTCTAAATTATTTATTTCATTTACCCCGAAAAGGTGTAGATAAGGCGCTATATATTTTGGCATACAAAAGATCACAAGTCTCAATAGATATACCCCCCCTCTCCCACTGCACCCTTTCAGTATTGACTAAGGTCCTCTGCACTATCCTCAACTATCTGTTGCTCACCCTCATTCCAACAAGCACGCATACATTGTCAATAATGGGGACACGGTACACACCTGTGTATAGCCAGTTTTGGAGTGCCCAACGGATCAGACGGTATTTAATTCATTGATTATTATTTGTCTTGTGTTTGTTTGAAGTGTTACAAAATGTTATATCAAAATTATTTATTTGTATAACTTATTTTATTTTATTTTTTAAAATTTGTGCTTAACAGATGGCATGCAGGGTTGAACTGGGGAAGGCTGTACTGTTAGGAAGTATAGGGGGAGGGGGGGGGGGGCTCCCCCCCGGGTAAAGTGGATTCACTGTACTGTGATGACTCCACTCGCCCCGGGACGGTGAGTCGTCCAACAGGTCCACCCACAAGTCATGCTACTTAGTATTGTCGATAAGCGATCCGGTTGAGAACAATCCATGAAATAAAAGTATACAAACAAGGATATGTCCGACTAACATCAACGTATGTGCACACATATTGAGAAAAGATAAAACATACAGATGCAAATACACAAAAACACTACCCTCATACAAGCAAAATTTGTATCTCTCTCTCTGTTCCCTCCTACCAACTCATCTTGGCCCAGTAGTGTAGGGACTAATAATGACAAAGTCACCACCATAGTATGAGACAGTGCAAACTTTCGGAACCTTCGGTGACACGGTAAAGATGACTCCACTAGGGAGCGGGACAGAGGGTGCCCACCTCGTGACTCCACACAGCTGAGGAATGTAGGACTAACATGATCTGAACAATTAACTACTAACCAGTTGTGGTAGCCTTCTCCAGTTGGGGCTACGGCAACACTTAAATGTTAAACTTACCAAAAACCGTTATAAGAGTGAAGAAACATATGTATTTACTTATTTATTAATGTATTTATTTATACGTAAAACATTTTCCTGTGTGTTTACTCTAAGACTAACAGCTCATTTCAAAACCCAAAATGCAGCACAGTTTGTTGTTTTTACTGAACACAAAACGCCAGATGATTCAATTGGGGCAGGGTCAAAACCAAAAAAGGGAGAACAACAACAACAACAACAACAACTCACCATGGCATACAGATGTAACCAGGTCTTAGGGAACAGCCAAAACAACAACAACAACACAACAACAACAACAACAACAACAACAACATACAATGGTATACAGCGGTACCCAGGTCTTAGGGAACAACAACAACAACAACAACAACTTACCATGGTATACAGCAGGACCCAGGTCTTAGGGAACAACAACAACAACAACAACAACTTACCATGGTATACAGCGGGACCCAGGTCTTAGGGAACAACAACAACAACAACAACAACATACCATGGTATACAGCGGTACCCAGGTCTTAGGGAACAGCCATAACAACAACAACAACAACAACAACAACAACATACCATGGTATACAGCGGTACCCAGGTCTTAGAGAACAGCCAAAATAACAACAACAGCAACATACCATGGTATACAGCGGGACCCAGGTCTTAGGGAAGAGCTTGTACAACAACAACAGCAGCAACAACAACTTACCATGGTATACAGTGGGACCCAGGTCTTAGGGAAGAGCTTGTACAACAAATTGTCCAGTTTTTTACGGATCAGGAACAGCTTGGAGTTCACGGAGGAGCGCATCTGGAAGAAGGAAAAACTTGGGTTAAAAAAACAAACTCCAGAACTTCCAGCACATCTCTTTATTGAGGGGGGAAAGTACAGTGGATCGTTCCATCTTCTTTCCCTCTTTTTTCTTCCTCTTCCTCTGTGTCAGACATAGAGTGTATGAGTGAGAGAGGGAGTGAGTGTATGAGTGAGAGAAGGAGTGAATGTAAGAGTGAGAGAAGGAGTGAGTGTATGAGTGAGAGAAGGAGTGAGTGTAGGAGTGAGAGAAGGAGTGAGTGTAAGAGTGAGAGAAAGAGTGAGTGTATGAGTGAGAGAAGGAGTGAGTGTAAGAGTGAGAGAAGGAGTGAGTGTATGAGTGAGAGAAGGAGTGACTGTATGAGTGAGAGAAGGAGTGACTGTATGAGTGAGAGAAGGAGTGACTGTATGAGTGAGAGAAGGAGTGA